TGACTGGATCAGTGAAGACATCCAGACAGATGGAGCACAGGAACTGATCCTCAGACCGCAGGTTGCTGCTAGAAGACATGTCTGAACTCTGAGGACAGAATAAACAGTTTAAAGTCTTTATTTGAAGTTGCTAAATGTTCCAGTTCCTTATAATCGTTTAATCTTATAATCAATCCATCCATCCATCCATCCATCCATTATCTGACACGCTTTATCCTGAGTGGGGTCATGAGGGGTGCTGGTGCCTATCTCCAGCTGTCTACAGGCAAGAGGCGGGGAACACCTTGGACAGGTCGCCAGTCCATCTCAATAATCTTATTGTCATTTCCTCCAATTTACTACAGATTTATTCTGAGTCCTGAAGAAATTTCTCCAGCTTACTGTTTGTCCTTAAAGGGGTCACAGAATGCAAAACCGAGTTTCCATTGTCAAAGATAAATAACGATAGTTCAGTGGGTGAAATGGACGTACAGAGAAGTTCAAACCCCATCAACACCTCCTTTCTCTGCAAATCTCACAATTCTGAACTTCCAACATAAAACGGGTGAATCCAAACGAAGCCCCGAGTTCATATAAACTCGGTTGAAATTCCCCCTGGACATTTTTTTAGGTATGAAAAGTAGGATATGTCCAGGAAAAAGTCTGGTCACCCTACCCTATCAACAATTTGATGTTTCAGTGACTGAGTGCTTGTTGCTGTGATGCGTCTTTGCTCAGAAGCTTCGCTAGTTGTAAACCAACCAATCAGCGCACAGCTCATCTAAATATTCATGAGCATACCATAAAAGGAAGAAAACCTTTTCATTCTAATGTTTTTATCAGGCTTGTATTAGGGTTCAAAGAACAGCAACTATGTCATTTTCAGCCCAACTAATGTTACACACCCTATTCAGAGACCTTAAGGACCAGATACCCTACAGAATCATTCTATAACCCCTTTAAAAGCTGTTAGTAGAAACTCATTTGAACTGTTTTCTGCTTCACTCACCAGAATCAGAGTCTGTTGTTGGGAAGGAAAAGATGAACTTAGTTCGTCCTCAGGAGGAACAGGGACGTGTTTTTCTATGGCAGCTCAGGCTTTATTCTGATAAACTTTCACTTTCATTTCTGCAAAGTGACGTTTTAAACTCAGTGCTGCTCCTCCCATTACCTTTGAAACACACAGATTCATACAGGAGACATAAAACATGTTTCTTTAACTCATCAGAACTGAGCTCACTATAAAACTGGATTATTTTTTTTATTCATATAATCAAATGATCAGTTTCAGCTTCATTTTATTCTAATATGTGAAAAAAAAGACCAGTAAAAATTAGCTGATTGGATCCAGTTTGAACATGCAGTTCTCGGTTCATCCAGGAGGGGGCTCTATAGGCCAGCTCACCTGGTGAAATGAACCCAGCAGGTAAGTTTCTGTTTCTAAAAACAAGAATCTGTGGAGAGTGAAAAATAAACATTA